TTTTTCAACGTTCATAACTTTCCGTGTGTATGTCTATCGTCGTTTGTCTGTCTGTTGACGATTTTATTAGGCAGATAATCTTCGAAACTACTGGACGAATTAAGTGCAAATTATGTTTGATATACAAATAATAATTTATTAACACAGCATATCCCTAATAAATTAATGTGTCAAACTTTGAAAATTAATAGTCATATAAGTATGATAACTGGCAAAAAAATACAGCATGTCTTCGACTGAACGGCGTATTTGAGTGAGTAATTTCATAGTTCATTATTTGAAAAATGGAGGGTCGGTGGCAGCTTATGGTGAAGTTTAAACTTTAGTGGTTTGGAATTTATCAAATCTTACGTAACACGAGACAAATCGGTCTATGTTAGCAAGAGCCACAGGATGAAGAACAATCAAGATCCGTATGATAATATTTTTGTAAATATCTTTTGCTGTAAATTTATTGTAAATAAAAATATTGAAATATTTATTAGCACCGATTAGAAAAAACTGCACAATATTTTCATGTACAATCTATTGATGTGTTTTTCCAGATTTCATAATTTGGGCTAACATACAAGTGATGAAAAAATGAAAAAATATCATAAATAATTTTTTATTAAAAAAAGAAAAAGAAAGAACGATTATCCACTGAGGAATCCATTATTAGTCATCATTAGTCTAATTGGTGAAGATTCGCTGTGACGGTCGACACGCTATCCCCACCATCGCGCGAACTGAACTGATTCCTTACCAACTGTGTTATAAGATGATGATTTTGCAATGGCTGAAGTGATTATCATCAAGCATAGCTAAGAACCATCCCGATTAAACCAGCTTTCAAATAAAAAACACCCAATTGAAATCGATTCATCCGTTTGGGAACTACAAACTTACGCCAGACATACAAACAGACAATGGCTTCAAACTTATAACATTTTTTTTTTGGGCCGGGGGAGAAAATAGTGGGCAAGATTTGTTTCAGCGTGAACTTATGGTCCGTTGAAAGTCACACCTTTTTTAGTATACAGATTTTAACGTTTCGTTCTTAAATAATAATTTACAAATAAAATGTGAATTATACTTACTTATTTACTTTGGGCGATGAATGTCACACGTTTTTTTTTTATAGTAAATTACATTTTTCGTTTTAAAATTAACTGATTATTAATACATAGTCAGTTTTATAAATTTTTAACCGTCTGTTAGCACCAACTAAACTGCTAACACTAGGAATGTGATTCAAAAGTAGATAAACTTGCATAAAGGTTTTTATACACGCAAATCTGATCATAATGACTAGAAAGCGGATTTTACGCTGTCTAAATTATAAAAATGGGCCCTAAACTAAGCCACTCTAAGTGGAAAAAAGGGTAAAAAAAAGTAACAACAGGCATTTTAGGCAATAACTTTTTATTGATAAAATTAATTATGCAATTTGTTTCTACTTTCTAGGCGTTTCATGTTCTCTACAGCACAAAAAATAGGTTCCCCGTTTCCGTCTGTCTGTCTGTCGTCGTCTGCCGTCTGAGTAGATTTTTATTACACATAATTTCCGGAACTGCCCGACCGATTGTTGTCAAAATTTATGTGTGTTAGAAATATCGTGCATATATAGTAAATGCTATTTAAATTTTATAAAATAACATGCTCCTACACTTGTGGTTTATGAATCTGCCTTAAATTTTTACCCTAGACTTTAAGATTTTTGGGGAAAGAAATTAAAATTTGATGACAACATTTTCAACATTGTAAATCCTTAATTAAAAATTATTCGTTTATCCCCTTTCCTTCCCCAAAATTGATGACGTCATTTGAAAATTTGACCGAATAAATTTTATTTATAAGGTGGAAAACAAGATGCATTCATATTTCTTAGAATTGTTTATAGAGGGCGAGTTAGAAAAATTGATGAATAAGACAACTTATTTTTCCACCAATATGTTGTGACAAAGAATCTTATTTCACGACCATTATTTAAATTTTTTAATACGTATGTCATGTTACTTAATTTATTCAACTATATTTTAGGCAATAGGAAACAGTACTAAAAAATAGGGAATTCAAAAACAACTGGACCCATTGAAACTATTTTTGTAAAACGCATTGATATAGAAGTTTTGCATGAAAGCCTATTTCAGAAATGAAAAGATATTTGCCTTAGATCCGCTTAAGTGTATACGATAGCTTCAAAGTCTTCTAAATTTAAAGTTGATTCTTTCATTAACTATACTAACACTAAACTCAAAATTTTAAATATATGTAACTTGAAAAATTGCTCGAAGGTTATTTTGAGAGAAGTTCCCTCGCCCATGAAGGATAATTCGACAAATCGCGCTTCTTTAATAAAGTTTAAATTTTGTGATAACTTCTATACAGTAAAAACCGGCGGCATAAATAAGAACCCCGCAGCCCTTGCGCCGTGGGGGCGTGAATTCCAACGGAACAACGTAAAATATATTTAAAATAGATGTTCAAGGGGGAAAATGACCTCTCAGGAATAATAACAAGTTTAACTTCGGATGTTTATGTTTATGCATCGAAGGAATGTTACGCATTATTAATTAAGCCACAACCTTATATATTTTTATTTTATCATTAATTCATTATTAAATAAAGACATTTTCAAGAAAATGGGGAAAAAACTGTTTGGCACCTTAGCCACAAGGCCACGAACGTTTATATCCCAAGTTAATGGTAAAATGTTATTATATTGTGTTATTTTTTTTTAGAAAATTTGGACATTGGGGAAAAAATTTAAAACGCACAAGTTTGGGACTATAGTTTTGTGTAACATTTAAATCAATCACTTTAAAATAGAATTCTTTGAAATGACGTAATCAAATTGTTGGTGGGAATGATTCGTCAAGTTTTGGTTAGCGTTTTGCCATCTACAAACTATTCCTACTATACATAAAAATTTCAAAAAACAATCGGTTCGGAAATTATGTGTTTAACAAAAATAGACATAGACGACAGACAGACACACAGGCAGACAGACAGACAAACGCAAACGAGAAATCATTTTTTTCGTACTCTAGGGATCATGAATCGTCCAGAAAAAACGAAACTTGAAAGTCAGCCGATCGACTCATTTACTTTCTTAGCTTGCGCTCGGTAAATAAAAAATTGGTTGAAGTTTATTTCGACAGCTCTTTCCGCGCCCGAACACATTATGTTACGAAGATACAACTTCCCGAACGTAAGCGCAGGAAGTATTGTAATCGAGTCCGTCGGCTGACTCTCTACTTTTACGTTTTCTCGACCTTTCATGACCCCTAGAGTACGAAGAAATAGATCTCCCGTTACCCTCCGTCTGTCCGTCTGTCCGTCTATCTGCCGTCCCGGATTTTTTTATGTTAGCTCTAGCGCCAACTGTAGGGAAAATGGGTGAACGGTCAAACAATTGTCCCGAAAGTATGAATGCCTTGATAAATCGGATAGCATGTTTGTTTCTAGGGAGTTTTCTCACTGGAAAATGTTCCGATCAACTGCAATACTGATAATAAAAAATATGTACAGGGTTCACCAGACGTGCATTCTTTTATACTAAGTAGTACAAAATGTAATCATCCAATTTGGATTTTTTCTTCCAAAAATTTGAATGCCTAGGGTAAAAACTCCAAGCGGGTTCATGAATCACAAGTACAAGAGTATGTATTTTTTTTTTTTAATTCTAGAAGGAACGAAGTTCTAAAATGAATCGAAACCTAAGTTCCCTAGTTCGTACTAACACAACTAAATACGTCTAAATATAGAAACACAAAGAGCGTAGCGAGCTTTTAAGTATGAGCGAAGCTCACAACACCGTTAAATGCACCGTCATCCATCTGAGCACAGAGCAGAGTGTGCATTAGCTAAAGCCAAACTCCAAAAGTTTATGCATGCAAAATACACGTCGGTGTTATTTACATACATATATGTAGTTAATTCAAAATGCGCACAAGTGTTATTTATAATTATGTATTTAAAGATTTCTGCGCAGAACAACGTTGTGCACGGTTCTACCGGTAAGGATTAAAATGCGTGGAAAAACAGAGCGAAAACGTAATCAAATTAATGGTAGCTATTAGCTTACACGGTGCGATGGAACTTAGCTGACATGAGCTGGCTGCTGGAGAAGATGCAGCGATAGCTTCTATTGACTGATTAATGACGCCTTCTTCTTAATAAACGACAGATTACTCAGATATCTCATCGATAATATTCGCAGGGGAGAAAGGATTCAGAAGCGTATAGAACGATTTCATTCTTCATTGCGGCAGGTGTTACAAGCGCACAAAGACATTGGAAATAGTTAAGAGGGATGCAGGTGGGGACTTTAAGAAGAAAAATCGAAATTAATGTTTGAAGGAAAGTTGATCTGAATGTGAATTAGATGCAACAATCTCGCGAAACTTCTTGTTAACTTGTTTTCTAATTGTTGATTATTGGAGATAACGCAGTGATCTAAATGTTGATCAAAATGTTCCAGAATTGAGAGAATTAATGGCTGAATAAGTGTTTTTCCTTCTAGGAATGGAACGAGTCAAGAAGGCATTTTTGCCGGTTCCAAGAAAAATGTGTCAACACTTGATAGATTTTAATATCACTCTGACTCCAATATAAGTTCTATATTATCCTATTCATGTGAGAATATTAATCCAGCAAAGTCTGTATTTTCAAAAATTTCAAGTAATCGTAATTGAGGTTCGCCAAAATAAAGAACGGTTATCCTCGTGTACTTAATAAAGTGTTCCAAGTAACAAAAGTTTTTCAAGAGGTACTTTTTGTCTTGTTTTAATTTAGTCGTTTCTCTATGACACGGCTAATTTCTGATCCCGCCGAAGTAGCTAATTGGTGCGCCCCCGAGATTCCATTAGGAGCAACACGGTGCTCTCGCTGAAGGTATTTGTTTTTACAGCAAGTCGTCTTTAATTTTATTCAGTTAACCTAGACTCGTTGTTTTTCTATTACGTCAGCGCCCCTTATTATTAAAATAGCGGAAACAATGAAGCAAAGATACTCACTTGAAACCGTCTCATGTCCCTCGGATTCCCGGCGTTTTTCAAACAGTTTTGATTGCACTTTAAGAAGAACTTGAGAAAGAATCTGAAAAGAAAAAACGCACATCAAAGAGGTGTAATTACACGACAAATAAAAAAGTCAAAATCAATTACGCTGCGAACGCAAATACCCACCTATATTTAGAATTGGTCATAAACATATTAGCCGGAAAATGTTTTTCGACATTTCATATGCGTTAACTGAAGCGCGACCGAAACGGGGAATTGATTGCCAATACCCGATAACTGTATCAATTGCGTTTTTATTTCGATGCCATTGATGGGTTATTGCCAGTCGGTTTGCGTCGGTTTTAATTTCGAGAAGTAACGAATTTTGATTTGGATGTAACGAGGTGAAGTTTTTAAAAATCAACTACGTACGCCAAGAATTATTTATCTTTAGTGAGGGTGTGCTTTGTAAAATCCAATTCTCGCCTGACAATGGCAAGGAGGACCTCCATTATTTACACTTCGCCTCCACAAAAGGAAGTGAGGGTATATGTATTTACAAAATGAATAAGAAAGGCTTATGTATCAATGTTAGCAGTGGAATAGTTTCCTGGGAGGACTCGCCGACCTTATTTCAGGGCCAATTTGCTTTGAAACCCCGACTTATAAAAATGACACAGGGATTTAGTTTTTAATAATATCGAACGCTAGTCTCTGTGTTACATTCCTCTCTTAGGGCGTATAGGCAGACAGGCAAATATACAACAACTTGCACAAGTATCCTTGTCAGAAGGATAGTTTTTTATTATCAGAATGTAAAATAACTGTACGTAAAAATTCGTTACGTTCCATAAAAGATTTACAGAGATTTTTAAAAATAAAATGTGGAATGTTGCTGTTAAACGTAAATGCATCAAATATTAGAAACAGCAAACCGCAGTAGTTGAAGTATATAGGAAAAAAGGACGTGTATCAACAGCTACTCTGTCATAGTGCTGAGGAAGTCGATGATCTATCTATTTCTGGAGAACATTTAGTTTAGTTTTAAAAACTTTGTAAATTATGGCTCAAAAATGCATGAAAATATTAAAATTGATGAAATATTGTGTTGCAATTTATCATTAACTGATAATAATTGATCAATTTATCTTGAACGTAAGATACTAATTTTTTATAAACACGCCACTGTAAGATAATATCAGTTCAGTGAATAAAATTCGCCACATCGCATATTTAATACATTATTTTTTTCATTATCTACTAAATATTTTCGTTAAGCTAGATTACTAAGCGGGAACGAACCGGTTTTACCTAACGAACCGGTTTTACCTAAAATTGTTTAATTTCGAGGTTTCTCTTCATGAGGAAGAATTTTTGCAATACTTTTGTTTTAGCTGAAAAATCAGTTCAGAGATTTCATTAAAAGTAAAACTAGTGAATTCTTTTTCTTCTCACAAACATTTTTAGTAAATTGTAGTGTAGCTGACAAATTTTAGAAAATTTCAATATTTTTAAACAAATTTAATCAAAATGGAAGATTTAAAAATTTATTTACGTAAACAGATAATCAGAAAACAGTTTTATCGAAGAATTTATTAAATGTCGAAGTTCAGAACTACATGTAATTTTTATTAATACGATAAGTGTGAAAATAAATCCAATTAATTTCGACAAATTCCCTTAAACGACTAAATTCTCAGGAATGCAAATATAATGCTTCAAATTATCAATAGTTTTGTAAGGAAGTAAGTGATTCACAAAATAATATTTTTAAAGACATAATATAATCGTAATCTAGAAAAATCTCAAAAGAATTTATATCTCCAGCTGCTTGCGAAATTCTAAGAATTTTACCAACGTAATTCTCAGGATTCCAAAATTATTTTCTATAAATTTAATACTATTTTCAGTCAGTTTTGACTAATTTCGGTACTTGTCATGAATTTCAACTAATTCCAAGTTAACACTGTGGAGATTTAAAACAAAAAATTGTTTTGAATAAAAAACAAAATGAAAAAAAGTTGCAATAATTTCGACGAACATCAAAGAATTTCTTTCAGTTTTGAAAAATTTCGGTAATTTCAGACAAGCTTCGGTAATTTTAATTTGAGCAAAGCAGCTCCGATAGTTACTAAAAGTATACTGAATGAACATATACTGGGTGAGTCACTAAGCGTGCGACCTCAATATTTTATTAATTATTATTATTAAAAATAGAAAAAAGTTTAAAATTGAAGTTCTATGCACAGTAAGTCACTAAGCACAACTTAACTGTTTTTAAATGCAACATTGTACGCATTTTTATTATTTTGATTAATCATTTTTTAGGTTTTATAGCCACAGTTTATTTTTGAAATTCCGATTCGATGTTGCCATGTCATTTCAAATTTTTTGAAATTTTTTAGGAGTGGAAGAGTTCACAAAAAAATTGCAGTAGGGTCAGTTTTCAAATCTCTTTTTACAATATTTTGTGGAGACATAAATTAAGGTATGCGCTTTATTGTGGTATAAATAAAGTTAAATCCTCATATGCAGGGTACAGGGTGTTTATGAAAAAAATAAATATTACAATTTTCAAATATCGATATTTCAGTTTTTTTCAAATAAGTAGAATACTCTGAATTGTATTACTTACTACTTATTTATCTTATTTATTACTACTATTTTCTGTGTTCTTCCTTTTTGTTAAGTATTTTCTATATTTAAAGTTGATACTTATTATGATTTTTTCGTTTTTTAAGAGACGCTTCAACATATTGAAATAGAGTAAAAAGCAGTAATAAAATACAGTGTGTTCTATTGGAAAAAACTGAAATATCGATATTTGAAAACTGTAAAATTTTAGAATTTTTTGTAAACACTGTGTATTACAATTTGATTTAATTGCGATGTTGCCACATAATTCCAATTTTCTTGTACTTTTTTAGCAACGCAAAAAAAAATTACAATGCTGTTATTTTGATAATTTATGTCACAATATTTTTTGGAGAGATAAACAGAGATCCGTTCCATGTTGTGCTATCAAAAAAGTTAAATTTTATTAAATAGTGTTAAATAAATTTAAATTAATACAATTTTCAAATACTGATATTTTAGTTATTCAAATAGAACACCCTGTATTTTATTCCTGCATCTTACTCAATTTTCATCATCTTTTTTTCAAGAATTCGATATGTAAGTATATAGAAAATACCGAAATGTCGATGTTTGAAAATTCTCGGTATCTTCAGACTCCATTTAATTTACAGCACAACAAAGCGCGTACCTTTATTTATCTGGCCACAAAATATTGTAACACAGATTTTCAAAATTGCAAAAATCAGAATACTGTGGCAACGTCGCATCAAAATTTAAAAAATATACTACCGTTTTGAAACCTAGGAAAAGGTCGATGAGAATATGTAAAAATATATATGGTGTACTATAAAAAAATAAGTTGTGTGTTGTATCAAAAGCGGAACATACTGTCTAAGTAGTTGAAAATAATTTTAGTGTGTGCTATTCAAAGAATCGTACAACTTACTTCTTAACGTTTTTTTTTTGTGTTCAAAAACGAGAAATCCAGGAACGCCCGCTTAGTGACTCACCTGTATATTCGAAAGTAATTTTGTTAAGGTCAGTAGATTTTTTAAGGATACAGTGGTTCAAGTTTCAGTTCAACCATGTTCGGTGTATTCTTATTGTACCACACGATTGAAAAAAAGTCCTTTAGTACCTATATTTGAAATTTATTTTTAAAATAGAAATAAAAATTGGTATTGCAATTATTTGACAACAGTTACTTTTTTATTAGTAAATTCCCGTCGTCGAATAACTGCGTTTCTAGAAATTATACTTTATAAAGTAATCTCAGTTTATAGCCAATTATACTTCTTTTTTTAAGGGCGTGTACAAAATTATGCGAAATAATATACACAAACTAAAAGACTGAATGTTAAACCAATTTTGGATTAATAGTAAAGAGACATTTTAAGAAAACAACATAAAACGTCAATGTTGACATATATTGATTCAAAATTATTTAACACAAATTGTTAAGTTTAACTGTGAAACGCGTATTTTAGGTTGAGTGTAGCTTTGTAACTTGTAGAAAAACATTATATTTGAAGTGCAATGTTCACAAATATCGTCACAAAAAATGTTATTGTTCAAAGTTACACTTATCAAGCAGTAGTTTTATTAAAATAGTTTAACTTATCACGGATTAGTGGGTCAAGTTCGACTTATCTAAGAATTTTTATATAAATTTTTCACCATAAATGCTGCTGTCACAGCGATAGTTGATTATTATCAAAGAATTCGTTTATCGAGGATTTTTAATAAAAATGTCTGCTGTTAATAACCAAATTTTTATGTTGATTTTCGTATATATTTTTTGTCAAGCAAGTAGTAGTTTTGAAATCATTTAATAGATCAATTATCAAGAAACAACATTAATTTTAACAAATTTTGCACTTTTTAAAATTTATTTACCTATTACATTTGTATAGTTATTAATTCTCTATGAGAGACTGTATCATATTATAAACAAAACTAAAACTAATTTTTGTTTCAATTGTATATATTTTATTTTGTGCCACACACTCCTATATCTATTGAAATTGTGTCTTATTATTTTGATTACTAAACAGATTCGTGTCATCTAATCTACAGATTAGACTATTTAAAATTACCATGTAGTTAAATGGTGCCAATTATTTCCAAGCTATTATTTGTTAGCCCTGAAAGGTATCTTGAGTACTAAATAATGAGACCAGACAATATTATTTTCCAAAACTTCAATATTTACTAAAAATTTAAATCTATAAAAAAGTGAAACGAAGTCTAAACACAAATATATTATTAAATTATTATACTAAGAAGTGAAATATTGCCATATAAGTATAACAAAAAAAAATCATAATCATATTATTAGTTTTTTGTGTACTAATTGTAAGACAAAACCGTGAACCTTTTCACCTTAAAATTTCGTTCCGTTTTCTTGATATTTTGTATCATGAAAAGATTCAGGGTTAAACACACATTTACTTTTTTCCAGAACTATCCAAAGAAAAAGATGGGTCATGATCTACGAGCCCTGTCCCTCTGGTCTAGTTA